ACGTGTGTTCTTCTATCGTGCAAGTTTTATTATAATAGCCCTTACAAGTGTATATAATATAATTACGTACACTTATTTACTATTATAATATGTAATAATGTAATATAATTATATTACACTTTTCATTCTTTTTATTGGCGTTCATCGTTTTTTCTAATATTATGTCGAGGAGTTTTTGTTAACCCAATTGTGTCGTTTTGTTTCCTTTCTACACTTTATCAACAGTACTATGTTATCGTAATGTACGATTATGTAACTATAACAATAAGTTGGTAATCGTTACAGTTTAAATCAGAGAAAGTCAAATGTATGTTCGAAATCTTGGCTAATGCAACAAAGGTGGTGTACGAATGTTACGAAATTGACAAGTATTTGTACGCTATTGGGCTTAGCGTAGATCCCGCTTATCGAGGGTACGGATTAGGCAAGGATATTTTGAAAATCAGGTATGACTTGTGTTCAAACGTTAGTTTGCACATAAAAAATACTTGAAGTTATTGATTCTTTGCTCTACTTCACTGTCCAAAATTCTTTAAAAAGATCAATGTGTTCAGAGCAAAGTAGAGCTATTCTATTTTTGTAATAATAAATCTTACATGCGAAAGATGCAGATAATCTGTCATCCTTGAGCTTTCTTGATTTTTTCGAATTATTATTTAATAATGACAAAATATGAAAGAGTTACATTTAATATTTTTGAGAATATTGAATTTGACAAATTTTTATTTATCTTTTTGATAAATTGCTCTAACATCATTGACACAAGAATCACTTTTAACTTTTTATACTTAATTGATTTCAATTAATTTAATATCTATCATATTAATCAATTTATCAATGTTTCTTATAATTTATAACAAATCTAGATATCTCCTCGGACCTAAGTACGGAATACCAGCGACAGCCACTGTGTTTACATCAATAATTTCGCAAAAGTCAGCAGCGGGTGTGGGATTCGAAGAACTCCTGACGAAAAAATTCGCTGATTGCGTGGACGAGAATGGAAAGGAATATTTCCCCGGTATTAAGTCCAAAGAGTTTAAAGTCATGGGTAAAAGATTTGTCTAACAGCGATTTTGGCTGGTCTGCACCAGTGTGCTACCAGTGTACAGTATGGAGCTGATGCAAATGGGTACAGTGCAATAACACCAACTGTCCCCGACTAATTTGTGGGAGCCACTTTGTGTACACCCAACATGTATCTGTGCGAGATACCGAGTTCAAACAAACACATGACACTGGCGAGGGGCTGCATTATTCGTTCAGCGGAACATATAACACCCAAAATGTGCAATCGGTGCATCCCAGCCGAAATCGTTATAATATGGTAATGAACGTGGCGATACTCAAGAATCATAAGATTGACTTTATTTTGTAAAGTAAATTACACACATAAATAAGTTTCTGTCATAAATTAAAATTCTACAATGTCACCGTGATTAGTGTGATTGGAACGAATAATAACAACCATCACATCATTATCGGCTTGTAACATTTTTGTAGA